AAAAAAAAAAAAAAAAAAAAAAAAAAAAACGCGAGGCTAAGGCGAGGCCATGGGAGATAGAGAAGTTTCAAGGAGCTGAAAAAACGATCCATGGAGAGGACGATCGATCAACTAAGCAATACCTGATGGGGAGCAGGAGGGTACTCATAGCCAATAGCATTACCATTTGATTGTTTAGTCCCACTTGACGAAGCTGTTTTTTTACGATCTAAATCAGCCGATTTGGATCCAGACTGGCCTTTCGACCTCGAATTTCCCTCTGCATAATATATCCAAAGAAAAATCAATGTAGAAGTACAAAGAACAATCCCAGAAAATTATCAACTCAGATTATCGAAGAAATCAAAAACTAGCCTTACACAAGTTATACCAATACGAGTAAGAATAAGCAAACGCAAAATAACCTAAGTCGGACTCGGGAGTGGAATAAGAAGAAAAGAAAAAGAAATGGCACCTCGAGCTGAACTCGGCGGCGTGGTCTGGAACTGCCAATCAGATAAAAACCCACCATCAACAAACAAATTTCCTCGAACTGAAGACGACGGGTCTGATCTTCTTCTGCCGGAACTACCTTTGTTCTTCCTGAAACCATCACTGGGTTTGGCATGGTTGGTTCTTCGTCTTCCTCCGGCCATCGTAGACCTGGCACTGCCAGAGAACGACAGCGTTTTTATCGATGAGCTCGGCTGGGTAGGTTACAAGTCAAGTTCCCAAAATACGAAGCAAACCGCCACAACGGGGAAGCTTGCGGTGGCGTCAGCTGGGTAGACGGATAACAAAGAGACCAGCAAAGAATCGGATCCACTCGCTTGCTGGGCAAGTAAACCACGAAGGTCAAGGCCTACAACTCCTCTTTCAGGCCCGTTTAAGCCCATTTTGTAAATAAAACATTACACTTCTTATTATTGATGTTTAAAAATGAAAGTAACTCAATTATAATTAATGATTAGGTTAGCAGTTAGGCCTTTAATTAATTTAGATATTAACTACCAAACAAGTTACTATTATTGTCTACTTTGGTTTGGATCGGTTCATTAGGTTTGCGGGACAGTCTCACGATTTTAAAATGTATTTTTAATGAGAAGTTTTCACAATCCACCCCCATATGGTCCAACATCATCGTAGGCAAACCGCCCAGACTCTAATACCATTTTATAATAATTCAAGTTCACTTTTAGCAGATAATGTTCGCTTTGGCTCATTACGTATTAATGTCAATCTCACGGTTTTAAAATACCTCTATTAAAAAGAAGTTTTCACACTTTTAGAAGACTATCTTTAATTGATGTGAGATCTCACACTCCACTCCTCATAATACTATTGGTACCCGATTGAGGACAAAATAAAACAAAATAAAAAAAATATTAGTTTATTTACGAAAGGAAAAATGGGGAGTGAGTCAATGTCTTGTACAGCCCAAAAGGGCATCGTATCACATGGCAATCGGCAAAGGCGGCAACACAAGAAACAAAGTAGGCCAACTCCCAAACGCACAAGCCCACAAGCAAGCACAGCACAGCACACGTCTCCCACATCGCTTAATTGCCGCCTTTCCCTTTTACCATTTGCCGACAACTGTCTTCTCTTCAACCTCCCCCCTTAATTTCCCTTCCTTACCCTATATAATCCTCTTCTTCTCCCTTCCCCTTTCTCTCAACTCCTCCCTGGCGACGGCCACTACCACAGAATCTATGGCCGACGCCTTGTTTGGATCCGTCTACCACGGCTGCATCGCCACCTGCGACGCCGAGATCGCTCGCCGTCCCTACCACAAGAACTGTGGTTGCGCTCTTCACGATCGAGATAACAGGCGCTGTTCCCACTCTATGTCCAAGCACAGCACCGTCTCGTATCCGATTCGACGAGCCTGGAGTGAGGGCTGCTTGGCTATGGCTGCTGCTTCTGGTTCTGGCATTTCTTCTCCCTCTTCTTCCCCGTCGATGGAGTTGGAAGGCCTTGGATCTAACAGGAGATGAACAGTATTCTGATTCTTTTTTTGTTTCGTTTTGCTCTCTCTCTCTCTCTTTTCTCTTCGTTTTCATAGTTTGTAATACATGAGAAATTCTTTTGATTTAGTGGAAAATAGAGTTGATTGATGAAAGAATGGAATGGTGTAAATCGCTTGATGTTTGCTAATAGAATGAAAATGTTCTGTGCATTTCGATGAACCGATTATCGATTGAAGATCCTTTCATCTATTTCACAGAAACGGCGATTGTCCTCCATTTTAGTTTCTCCTCGCGATTGATTGCGTTGAGCGATGAAGATGAAAGCAGAGTCGATTCACGCTCGCATTCGGAAGTTTCCTTTCGAGGATCCTTCAACTAATACCAAAATTGAATTTCCAAAAATATCTTTAATTTCTCCCACATAAACAGACATAAATATCTCGATTTTGCATTTTCCTTTTTTTGAGCACATAAATTTTAAAATATTAAATTGATGAAATTATTAGTTTTCTTAAAATACCAAATCGAGAATTTATTAAAATGAACGAAATTTGACAACAAAAATAAGAGTAAGTACCAAATAATAATTTATTCGAAATTCGAAATTCCAGCCCTACTCGCACTGAGCATAAAGGCTACCATGATGAAGCCAGCTGTACTATCCCTCCGCCAGGCTGCTTCGCCTCGGACAGATTCTCTTCTCTTCTCCTTCAACGAAATAAATCACATTTTAAAAAATAAATAAATAACCCATTAAAAAAAATGTAGACAGCATAGTTATAAGCATAACTTGAATAAAATTAAAATTAATTAATAATAAATAATGAGAGCATGAAAGATGGGTGCAGGTGTAACGCCCTTGTGGATGCCCATTCTCTATAAGTGGCCTTCACCGACCCATGTGAATAAAGACATATTTAATAATTTCGTCTTAAACGAACTTAAATTTTTGTAATTTCTGGACGGAAGCCAAAAAGTGGCCAAGTTCTTGGCCATTTCGTTATCATTTCCACTTTTACAAGCCAATCCCATTGTCTTTATTGGAAAAACCAATTAGGTGTCCAAATCTCTTAGTTAACCAACCCCACACAACACCTCAACTCCAACCCATCCCGTTCAATTTGGGGCAAGTTCTTTGTTGTGTTTCCCTCACAAGCAGAAACAGAGAGAATTGGGCAATGGGAGGTGAAGTGATGGGCGGATGTGTGTTTGATGCGTGACTTTTTGATCGAACGAAGGCCTTACCATCGCAACTGTGGCTGCGCATTGCACCATCGCCTCAAAAATGGGGGTTGTCCGCATGCTCTTAACACCTCTGTTTCCTTTCTCAAAGCTCAGAAATGGACCCAAACTTGTCGGCTGCAAATCCAGGCCCATGTCTGAGTTCTCCGCCCATGCTGCTCCTACCTCCCTTCTTCACGACCTTTCTTCCGGTATATGTGCTAATGAAGTTTCAATTTGTTCACAGAATTAATTCCTTCTTTTCGTTGCATTTAGTCTCTAGTTACTCTCTAGTCATGTGAGCTTGTGATTACTTGTGTAAGGTTAATGCCAAATTAATGGATTTATGTAAATTCTAACCCACAAAAATTCTTCATCCATTTATTATCTATCTTATTTGATTGTAATTATTTAATTCTTCCTATTCTTTTCTTCATCATATTTAAAAATGTTTGCCACTTCCGTTGTTTCTTACATCTGTTGACGAATCAAAATCTAGATTTAACATTTATGCCATAAGTCAATTATGAACATGAACAAGAACAATAACAAGAACGATCAAAATTTCTCCATATACACACACTAACAAATAAACGAATCAGTCCAAACAATTCCCCAAGTATTTCCATTAACCAATCAATTCCTTTAATGTTGTTCCCTTGAAGCCAATGGCACAGCAAACCTCGAAGAGAAGCCAATTGGGGGGCGATCGTCTTCTCCATCAAGCCCGCCATCGAAATTCAGAGCATAGCTTTCAGGGTCATACTGAAACCTGTTCCTCTGTTTTCTCCCCTTCAAATAGCCTCCCATTTTTCTTATGAAGTTCTTCCATTTGGGTCCAGCCACCATTTCTGAAACCTCCTTCAACTTCTTCAATTTCTTCACCATCCAAAACTCCTCTTCCCGTCCCCGTTGCTGCTGTAGAAGATTTCCCTCTTCGTAATTGCCGTTCCGATTGAATCCGAACCCGAAAAGCTGAAAGCAGGCGCACCCATTTGAGGGAACGGCCTCGTCGGTGTCATGAAGGTGTTCTTGTTCCTCGTTTAGAGGTGAATAAGGCGTGGGAGGCGGCCTGGTTTGATGGGTCGCCATGGGAGAGAGAGAACAGAGGTCTTAAGTGAATTGGGATTGTGGGGATGGAGGGTTTTGTTCAACTAGTGGAAGCCATTGAAGGGATATAAAGGAAAGACGAAATGACGCAGAAATGGGAAGATGGGTCCTTCCTTCCGCTCTCATTCTCGTGTGATTTGGCCTTGAATGCGTCTAAAGACGAGTTTATATGACGTCCAGGGAAGGAAAGAAAACTCCAATTGGCAAGCTATCTTTTTCCAAGGAAAGCTTCTGTCCTCTCTCACGCTCTCACCTCTACAGTCAATTTACAAAGTTGAAAGCAAATCTAACGTCTCAAGTTCATTTCTCGGCTCTGTCCGCCTCACACCCTCACAATTTTAAAACATTGTTGTTAGGAAGAGGTTTAGTTCTCCTCTTCAACAGATATTAGATCTTATAATTCACTCTTCTTTGGGGTTAGGGTCTCCGTTGTCATACAGTTGGATGTCCACTTCTAATACCATTTGTAACAATTCAACTTACTTTGAGTAGATATTATTTATTTTAACCCGTTACATATATCCGTCAACCTTACCATTTTAAAATGTATCTGTTAGTGAGAGATTTATATACTTTTGTCTAAGGTGAGATCTCAAAATAAATATAGGATGATAATGAAGAAAGTAGGTGGATTTTGTTTGGAGTTAGTTGGCGATAAATTCAAGCATGGAGCATCAAAGTTGACCAGATTTAGAATGGCGGCTGCACAAACACGCAGTGCCTTAATTTCAATATTCTAGAGTCTACGGTGAGCGCACGTTGTTTCTGAAGCATTTTGGGTTTGTCATTTGTTCATATTTTATAATACACAGTCCAATCAGATTCAACTCTTTTAAAGTTGAATGCTTTTTGCGGAGATTACTGCTCAGCTTAACTCGTAAGGAATGATTTTGCCAAAAATTGGATCTTTCCTACCCAATTTTCTTTTCCATATTTGCTTGAAACTTGAAGCTTAGCCTCTGTCGTGGAAGTGTTCACCGTACACCACCTAATATTGCTGCCTGACGTTTCACCTTGGATGGGCCCAAATCACCAACCTTGAGGCACAAATAGCAGCATAAAACACATCAAATGAACTACCAAATGCGCACCAGTAGAGCGGCCTTGCACGAAGAAGCAGAATGCCATGTATGCCACCTCTTATCGTAAGAAAATCTTTTTCCAGCTGAAGCATTTTAAAAAATTAACTGTGAATGTGACTACAGCAACCATCAATATCTACTAGTTGTGAGCTTAAGCTGTTACACAAACTGACTATATTGGATTTGATCAGACTTAACTTAGCTTGGATTAAGCTAGGCTTTCAGGTTATCTGAACTTTATTTTTGTAGGATAAACCATTATAAAAAAATAAAAATGGTTAATATAGATAAAAATCATATATAGCATACCTTATATATGATATCCCTCTTTAATTTAAAGGTACTATCCATTAAAAAAAAATTAAACTTGTAATGGAATAAAAAAAAAATGATCTCTTTTAGTAAAATGTTTCCGTCCACGAGTCTTACAAGTGTGGTAGTAAAGAAATCCAATTAATTGACCTGAAGTTGATGGGTCAGTCCAAATGGGGTTAAGCTTTAGGCTTCAAGAATGGTATCACCATAATTTCTTGGTTGGTTGATTCAGACTTCAATTTAATATCATGTATTCCAATTGTTTACTTCAACTCCACTCTGGTAAATTTCTCCGAAGTTTCTCGTTCGATTCCCTCCTAATTTCTTCCTTCTCTATCCAATCACTGAACTTAACTACCAATTCCATGACAAACCAATAAAGCCCTAGATCAGTGCAGGAATTTCAGCTTTCAAGGTTTCGCCAAGTTTCTCCCATGGCCGGAATGCTTCCAGGTGTAGAGTGTGCTCGAAGAAGACGGTTACATCAAACCAAAGCATGCTCGGATTCACCGCCCATCGCCGCCACTCGGACCTTAACCAGGAAATCCATTCTCTGCTTGTACACAAGCAACCACGAAACGCTCCTCGCTTCAAATCCCTCTCTGGTTCGTAAATCGCATCTCGACCTGTCAATGAATTAACAAATTATTCATTCGATTGAGGATGACGAACAGAGCTGATTCGATTTATCGTATTTTTTTCTTTTGCAGCAAGGAAGCCTGCTAGTCGAGGCACAAGAAAACGATAATCTGGACGGAATCGCGAGAGAGGCGAAGAGGAGATTGGACGAGCGATTGAGGAAATCAGAGGATAAAAGGTACTGAAATGACGGCCTCTGGAACAGCCGCGATGAATTTACATTTCGTTCATTTATTAATCATAAAACCTAAACAAAACACATCCAAAATTACTCTTGTAATCTGCGATTGGATGCAGAGGGATGGCGACGAGAAAGTTCAGTTGGACGAATTGGATCGCCGGCGAGAAAAACAATTGTGGTCAGTGCTGGTGATGAAGACGACTTCATTCCAGTGGCTCCTTTCTCTTCTTCTTCTTCTTCTTCTTCTTCCTCTTCTTCCACACAGTGCTTGTTTTTATTTATTCAACACAGGATGGGATGATAACTTTTTTTATTTAGAACTGCTCGTAATTTCCTCCAGATTTTTCGTTAACTCGTGACGAAAAACATTTGTAAATATGTTTTCTAATGTATGAGATGTTAAAATACAGAGATGTTTTTGGTTTATCTGAATGATTCTGCTTATAATTGTTCAGTTCCTCATAGCATTTTTTTTTTTTTTTTTTTTTTTGTGTGTGTTCATAGTCATCATCCAGTTCATTGTTCATTTGGATTCTCTTTCATGTTTTTTAAAAATTATTTTTAAATTTGGCAAGAAATCCCAAAACACTTTGTAAATTACTGTTTGTTAAATTCAAAATCGATTTGAAAAAGCATGCTATATTATTATTTGGTAAAATAATTCAGAATTCTAGTAATTTATCTCCAACAGCCAAATTTGGCATTATTTAAATTGCTTTCAGATTTTAGTTAGTTTTGAAAATTTATAAATGGAAGTAGGTTAAAATACCCCGTGAAAGTCAAATTAACAAGTTTGGCCAAATAAACCAAACAAAATCATTAAACAAACAGACACAAAAACACAAAAATAATAAATAATAAAGCGTTAAAAGATGATTATTATAAATATATAAAGTATGTCCATCGATTTAACTATATAATTAGTTTTTTTTTATTGCAATTATATGCTATTACTTTAAATCAATAGTCAACAATTAACTTAAATTAAATGGTAATAATTTTCAATGTTTATTATTAGAAAATATCAACGATACCATATGGTGTAGCCAAATTTTATCATAATGTTTTAATTTTTTGAACTTAAATATGGCAATTTTTATCATTTTTTTTTTTTTTTTTTTTTTTTTTTTTTTTTTTTTTTTTTTTT